TCATACACTCTGTAGGCCAGTATCTGTAACAACTGATTTAGCTATCGTTCATCTGGGATATTGCGTTTCACAGATGAACTGCAACTTTGAATCAAATCCAGACAGATAGCGGGTGGCGCACTCGATAACATCATTTTGAGTGATCAAATGAGAGCTAATGTGTCGCCCAAATTGTCGCGAGCGACGGGTCGTCTGAATCAAGCTATTTTTTCATTCCGCGGCAGATTGACCGGGCATTTAATAGAGTTATTTCTAGGAAGAACAAAACATCTATCGCGGTTTAATTATCAGATTAAATCCGACCAGCATCTTGGGATAGGTATGATAAAAGTAACACAGAAGCATTCAATATGGACTTTTTAAAGGTTTTTTTATAGGTGAAGTTACAGTGTTTTGGAGTCTGCAATGTCTGAATGGACTGAAATAATTGCTACGGATATATGAATAAAATTAAAATAGATGAAGAATAGATACAAATGAAAATGATAAAAGACTACAGATGTTTCTTAATGGATACAATAGAGAGCAAGGTTGGCCTCGTTATCCATAGGGAAATAACGAATGTCACGGATGAACTGTTACGATTATTAAACTCCACATTAATATATTTACAACAATGGAATTGAATTAAACAGGAGTAGATCACTAAGATTAGAAGTGAAAATCTGAATAGAGATTATATTACTTAGTTATGACAGCAGTGTTAAAAGGTACCCTGCCCGCTACGAAGAATTTTGAGCAAAATCCGAAATTTCCTCAGGAATATTTTTCTCCATTCCTACAATTGAATTGTTCTAATAAGGTTACTCAGTTCCAAATAGCTGACTGTAGACAATTATGCCATCATATCGTCCCTTACATTTGAGAAAGAAAAGTGTATGCAGGTTCCTTTATTTCAGTGTTTTTTTTTTATTGTTTTTGGGGCCTAAATGCGGAAAGATTATTCGTAATACAGAATATAAGGGTATAGAAAATATTACTTTGAGATATTTTCAAAATTAATAAAGCTCCCCAAAATACTGTATATTTTTTCTTAAAACTCTGGGATGAGGCAGCTGCCCCCAGCACTTTGATGCCCTGGACATGGCAATTTTGCAGGAAAACTACATGTACTATTAAACATGTAATAGTGCGTTGTTTTCATCTGCCATACACTGTAGTTTTCCAATATTCAGACAGCATACCAGCAGGATTGATGAATTATGAAACGGATTACTTTCTCAGCAATGACCTTTGTGAACACTGATAATTTAATACTGCAGAGATATGTATCGTCAGTCCAAGAAACCTGCACGAGCTGTGCGTGCACTACAGATACAGAACGCATGCACACACGTGCACGCACACGAGGGCTGATTATTAATTAGGTTCATCCCTTGGCATGTCGACTTTATTCGAGGGGTCTAAAAACATAGTAGTAGAAGTGGTTTATATGCGTTACTTGGAATCCACTCTCGGTTTAAATGTATCTTCAACGTTAAGGACATTTTTGGTTCAGGGTCACCGTATCGTATCGCAATCTCATTTCACGGAGATGCTCTACAGGTTAAAGAATAACGCTTATTTTCGCGATGACATTTCCAGGAGCTTTGGCACGGCGATTCCCGGAGATTACAAGATAACAAAGAACACCAAATGCCATGTGACCCCATCGATATTATCAATTTCCTACCATAACTTTCACCCTATACACAATGCACTGAATTTATGCCGTTTTCATTTCGAATTGTAAACTACAGAGGGCTGAAGAAAATAAATTTAACCAAAAAATAAAATAATAATAATATAAAGAATAAAAAATAGATATTAAATAAGATATCCACAAGATTTGCAAAAATATCTTGGTAAAGTAAAAGAAACCTCAGTTCTTTTTATATCTACATTGCAATACATGTAGGCTACGTTCAGGCAAATGGAATACATAAAATTCAATATAAATACGGTACCTGTTTCGACATACCGCCATGTATATTTTTATGCACACTTCATGTATTTTGCATGTCTGTTGTCTGAATTTAAATCATTTGCTCTAGCTAATCACCAGGCATACCTCGGGGACAAATGAAACAAAAAATGATGTTGAGGAGATGGGGTTTGAATTCAGTCGCGTTCTTGCACAATGAGACAAAACGAACCCCGATCAATTTGACAGCTAGAGAGCCATCCGAGCACTGGAGCTCCAGATGGTCGTGGTGACATCTTTCAAATTAACCTGCAGCGGTTCTCGCCGATCATTTACAGTGTACCTTGTACCACCAGGTTGGTTTTAAGTTAGTTTCGAGGTTTTCCCCTTCGAAAATTTGTCTCATTTCACGCTCACTTATGGTTCTCAATTTGTCTTAGAACATAATGCTTTTATTTTTTAATAAAAATGTTCTAGGACATTCTGAAGCAATTCCCAAAAACAGTTAACGGACTGTTACATTCATTACAGAACAACATTAAAACTGTAAAAAGATACAGTAAATGTTCTAGAATAGATTGAGAACCGTAAGTGAACGTTAAATGAGACATTTTCGCAGGGATTCTCAGCACAGTGCTGGCGTTTCAATAGTCAAATTCAGGCCATTGCTCAAAATGTTGGCGACCCACTTTGCTTGGCAACTGACTGACACGTATGGTGTTATCTACCAGTAGATTAAACGCCATTGAAGAAATAAAAAGGGCATGCTTAACTTCTCTGTGTTCTCAAATTGTAGCTTTACTGGATCGGACAGAGAACAAGAGAAACGCATTTTACTAAGTCAAATGGGGACGTGTACCTAATGGGAAAGTGAGCTTGTTCTCAGAAACTGTCGGAAGATTGTCGATGGCTCAGAGATATCCTCATGTTTTCCTGGGGTTGTACATCAAAATTTTTAATCGAACAATGCTGTCATCATATGGTGCACTGGTGCACTTAGGAAGGGAGTTTGAACTGATAGTTTGGGCTCGCTCTTAAATATTTAGAGCAATACGAAATGTCATTTATTTTATCCAAGTTAGATATTGGTTCCCTTCTTTCTTAACTGCACGTGTTTATCAAGCAATCGCACCGGAGACAAACATTTATTATGAAAGCTAGAGTTTTTACTTATTAAAAAATTCGCTTATTTTGTCTTTTCGAAAACCGATTGGCAGAAGGCACTGAGTTTGCACAGAACCAACCACATCAATACCATGTTGAACGTGAGAATTAAAAGCACTTACGGACTCATATGACTATGATTACCACTTGCCATGCGTTTCTGTCATATATGTCATAAATGCACTTTCTAACTAGTCATATATTATTCAGGACCTTCACCTCGTCATAACACACAGCTCCAATTCACTACGCTTTTATGAGACTGCTTTGGCTCAGCGGATTGTTCTAAAGATAATACGTGCTTTCAAAATCCCTGTAGTCCCGAAACACCCTGGATTCAAAACGCCCACGCTTCATACATTATAAGTTAGACAAGTCAGGTTATATTATAGATGCGTTTGCTCTTAAGGCGTCAATACAATAGCACACGAGGCTGTGTTGCTGGGGTTGGCCGACTGTTTTGTGATTGCGCACATCCGTGGCATTGTTGCTGTTATGAGAGCAATTGGCTTTTTAATGTTATCGGTGTTTCCCTGGCGGTGATACAAAATTGAAACAAGCTATTAAGAAGAAAAGACCCAAAGGAATATACACCTTGGAATACAAGGGTGATTTGTATCTGAGGATTGCAGTGCTCGGCGCACAGTCGGAAAGGAACCGGTGTGTGTTGAATTTTCTTTCTTTTTTTAAAACCAAAGTCACTGAGAAACTGCAGAACGAAGAGCACATTGATACAACCCACGCACGTCATTCTGCTGGTAAATAACATAGCACAAGTTAGACAAAGCGGATTGCTGTTATGAATAGAGGACAGAATGATGCATTAGTGAATTTACGATTTTAAATTGAACAGGAGAACGGCAGGAGTCAAAGCACGAGGTGCATATACCTACAGGGAAGTATGGAACAGTGCTTCTGGGGATGGACATCCTTCCATTGCGGACTACGTAACAGCCATTAACGAAGACTAAATTTTCTATATAAAGAAAATGGGGCAGCAAGATCATGGTATACGAATATACACAATCTATTTTTGGGTTTTTTAACAGGCTTAAAAGAATCATATGAAGAAAAAACATCGTATTTCCGCCTTCATACCGGTGCAAGGATGAATTCTGACCGGTGTAGCGAAAGTTAGAGGACACTCAGATATAAGTGAAGAGAAGATTGGAGGAAAATGCCAACGTATGTGCATTTACGCCACGAGACACATACCGGAATATGGTATATGTATGTGACATATACGCAGTCAATGTGAAACCCTTAATGGCATTTCTCTGTAGGCAGACATACTGTCAGGAAAAATAGGACAGTACTTGCTGCAGATTTATGCCCTATTAAAGGGAAATATAACAATTGGCGATGAGACGCAGCATAGCAGAATGCTGAACAAGGAGTAACAAGGTGTATTAGCCGAGTGAACTTGAATCAGAGTGAGAATTTTTCCGTCGTCAATTGATTCTATAATGCAATAGCATGACTGCTTCAAGTCGTTAACATACAATGTATTCATTCTGAAAGCTCATGCACACTTACAACGACACAGCTGCTGTATAAAACTGGGACTCCATACACATGGACATGTGAGAAGAGTTTATTCTTGTTTCAAAAACACGGCGCCTCTCCTGTTCCCGGAACCTTTCTGGGATAGGCAATAATTTAAATGGATGTGTCATCGTTGGTAAAGAATGTTATTATTAATTCAAAAAGTGAAACTGTGTTACAGGGATGTTGGTTGCGTGATATCGCCAAAGAACGTTAAAATAGCTGCGGGCGTATAATATAAGCCTGTATTCTTCAGCAAGAAGAAGGCACGTTGGCTACGTATATATCCATTGGCCAATTAATTCGGAAAGACTGAGCGACTTAAAACCCTTCCCATTAATGCGATATGGACTGGAATAGATTTGGTATCAGTGTACATATTCTCTATTATTTGTAACCTCAAGGAAAAAAAAAACATCGATACTGAAAGTTGAAACGCCATTTGCTGAGTCCTCGGGCGTTGTTCGTTTACATCCGCGTTGGCAATTTACGCTTATTAACACCACTTTACAATCGCAATTATCAGGTAGTTCCAATACGCAAATGCGGTGGTCTGATTAGGAAGGATGGTATGGTAATGTACACGAGTGATTAGCTGTCCTTGTCTCCTGGTCAGTAAGACGAAGGTGGCAGGACATAGTTTATTTGAAGGGCATTCTATCAACCCATCAATCTAAACACATAAATCAATATTCATATATTTGTATTCATATAAACATTGGAATATTCCGATTGGCTAAAATGTACTACGAAAGAACCAGCAGTTGCCGCCAGCAACTCTACGCAGAGATCAGTTGAACAGGAATCAGAACTGCTACGTGAAAAATCGGACAAAAACATGGCTTGCCAACGGGGATATTACAGTAAAGAAACAACTCTTTATTGAACTGAAAGCAGTGAAAAAGGAGACGACGAAAAGTTTTTGAAGCAGCAAGCAGACAAAGTAAAGAAATTAGATTAAAAAGAATCAGAACTCTGCAGTGGCAAATTGGACAAATATTGCTGATATTACCAACGCGTGGAATAATGCCTAGAACAGTTAAGAATTAATCACGCAATATGCAGTGTAAAGAATAAGCAGGAGAAAAGTAGGAGTGGAGTGTGTTTGTGTCATTGCATTGCACATTATGTTGGTTCTCTGGCATTTTGGCAGTAAGTCCAATGCCCAGTGAGACGTGAAATAGATTCAGCAAAATGCAGTGATCTTGCTACAGACATCGATGTAGACATGAATATCGGCGAGCCAACACACCGTGGGATTGGCCTAACATTGAACAACACTAATTAAGGCTCAGAGGCTCTCGAACACGTTTTTTTCGAACGAAGGGAAATCCGTCACGACAGTAATCACTACGGGGATTTCTTGCCGAGAACAATACGTTAAGTGCTTGGGGTAGAGCGAGAACAATGGCCTGAGGTTTCCTGATTACCACTGCCAGGAGAGTCTTCTAGGTGGAAAACTGCACCCGGGTCAAGTGAGTAATGTCAAGATTTAAGGCACAGTTAGCGCCATGAATTACTCTATCCCGCACATTTTGTGTGTTCTTTCAGTACGTTTAGTTGATATGTGAAATAGCCCGTTGCGTTCACAAACGAAGTGCCGGTCCACGATAATATAGGATACGGAAAACTGCTCACTGACATGCATATGAATATGGGTTATCGAGTTTAGTCAATTCAGACTATACTTTTATATTCCTTAACCAAGCAGAAGAAAACATCTTGTTAGAACCATTTGACGTATGGACATACATACGTTTAACGTAACATAAATCAACCCACTGCCGGGGAGTATAGATAATAAACCCGGACAATTAAGATACATGTACTGTTATGTATACGCCGGGTAAAATATGCGAATGAAATTAACGACTTATTCCCAAACTCGATAAAATTGCGCATAAAGCATACCTTTTAAGAAGATAAGATGTCCGTCGTGTTTCATGACAGCTTCACGTGATAAATCTGTTATGGTGCACAGTATTCCGCCAAGGAAAAAAGGACAACTGCTGGAGAAACAGGAATGCATTTAAGAAAATATGTTTTATGAAGCACGGAGTTAGCATAAACTGTGTGCACCTTTTTTTCCTGTTAATCAATTGTCTTTTCTGATAATTTCGTTCGTCAGACTTTGTGAATAACTTTTGAACTTGTCGATAATCAACTAGACCAACGCCGGCGAAGACGTAACCGTCTTAAGGTTTAAGGACGTACATGTTCAGTTATTACACGCGAATAAGACTTTTCAAGTCACCAATGCACTGGATTTGAAGAGGCGATAGGTCAATTATAAACTTTACCTAAGTGCTAGGCAGCAGCGCTTATCAATCGTGCAGTTGGAAAGTGCGGAAGGTATTCAACACGGAGCCGCAGTGGGAATTTCACAAACCGATAACCATAGTTAAACTGCTCTTGGAGAACAATCATTACACACTCTGATATAGGCCTATTCACGATGAAAGAGGAATCCGCGCAGCAACTGGAATGTACGGCTTGACAGCTGTAAGGGAATAACGGAGTTAACATCAACGAAATCAAGAAACAAAAAATGTGAGCTGGTTCACGAAGCATAAATCAAGTCACTAAACCTCAACTTAAAGATTGTAGTTAACGAGCCCTTGTGCTCATTGGTGCCTGTAGCGACGCACGCGCGATAGACTACCAGCAGCCAATGCGTACATTCCATAAGTTCGCGAACGTGAAACTGATGTGCCAATCCGTGATACGACGTTAAGTGGAAGGAGCCTGACGCTGTCTGTCAACGTGATTGGTATAAATAGAGCATTCTCCACACAGTTCTTTGTAGCTGTCGTGAAGGACAACGCTGTCGTAGGCTCCAACTTCGTGTTAACGGGAGCCAATTAGATTGCATAGCGTGGGCATCTTGGAATCACCAGCAACAATCGTAGCATCAAGGCGTGCTCTACCTTCCCCTTAATGAGTCCTTAGACATTATTGGATAGAGACAATTCTTCGCTGATGATCGAGGAGAAACCAGCCACCGACCTTGGAAGATATATAGGAATTTTATAAGCCGCCTTCCTTTTTATATTGTAAGAAGGGCAACGTGAAATGAGATTGCGGGCAAAGCGAAAAGACAAAGACAGTTTAGATTAAAGCACAGGACTGTCGATAAACGCCAAAGGAGTTTGGTGAAGGTCTGTTCGTGCCTTTTTGTGCTGATAAACCGATAGCTACTGTCGTTAACATGTGATTAGACGTTGAACATTGTCGTCTTCGTGGCATTCATGGTTTAGAAACTGCGCTAAGGAATCAATTCAGAACTGAAAGGATAGTTACTCAGGGACTCTGCGTTTGCCAAGTAGATTCAAGTGAGTGATTCGTGGCAAAGATAGGAATAAAGAGATCAGATTTTAGAGTCAGTCTGTCTTTGAATATATAAATACGTATTAACTGAAATACACCATTACGTTCTAAAGCACGTGGTAGGAGTTACATTTCACAAAGACGTCAGGACAGCTTCCAAAGCAATCTGCGGCTTAGAATTGGAAGCTGGATCTTAAAAGCACTGATGGAGTGTAAACTAATATTTTGAATAATGAACATTTTTTTAATCTACACACAACTGGGAAGAATAATTTACAGGGTTTGAACGAAAATCAGTGACGTGTTATCATTTATGTTTTCCGTGACAGACAGGTGTTAAAATTGAAATAAACAAAAGCCAACGATGGAGGGTATAAATTCAACTGAAATTTCCCTCTCGGATGACGTTTTAGTAAACACGACAGTAGACCTTATTTACCAGCGTTGTGGAAACCGAACCCATTTTCGAGACACCGACGCCTCCAAAATCGGAATCCCGGTACTTCTGGGCATCGTGTTTGTCGTCGGGTTGCTCGGGAATATGTTGGTTCTATACGTCGTTTGCAAAAGCAAGAGGATCAGCTACCTTTTCTTCAACCTCGCTCTCTCTCACCTGTTGCTGGTGTTGGTATGCGTGCCTCTCCAAGCAGCGCGGTTCGCATCAGGGTACACCGTGTACATTTCGAACCCCATGTGTAAACTGGGTTATTTCCTCATGTACACCACCACCGGGGTCAGCGTGAACTGCATGGTGGCCGTACTGGTGCTCAAATACATCGCTATCACGTGGCCCATCTCGTGCGAGATCTCACGGAGACACACCGCCATCACAGCAGTGGGATTATGGATAGTCCTGGGGATCATCAACGCCCCTCTGTTGGTTTACTACAAAGAAACCGGTGAAAAACAATGTGAGCTGCAACCCAGCAGTGACGCTCAGTATTATTCATTCATCGTCTTGACTTTTGGTCTTGACTTTGCCTTGCCTGTGTTAGTGTTCATGTGCATAACGATGTCCGTCATGGGGAAGCTTAAAATGACCGCCATTCAGGTGGAAAATCGACTGGCCATGGCGGCCAATAAAAGACTGGTCATCCTTGTCCTCATTATCTTTGTGCTCTTCGTGGTCACCTGGGGGCCGTTTCACTTTAGCTATCTTTTCGCAATATTCGCCAGCCATATCTACAATCCTTTCTGCCCCTCACCGGAAACGGTCGGCCTAAATTTCATGATCGTGTTGGCGTTTTCAAACTCGTGTTTAAATCCAGTGGTCTACAGCCTAGCGTCCATTGAATTTAGGCGCGCGTTTCAGGCTACCGTCAATAGATGGCGCTCCGTCACCCACACTGCCGAGGAGACTGAACTGACTAGGGTAGCAGAGAAGTAGCTAGCGTAGCAGTAGTAATAACGTACTGACGTAATTTTGAAATGCAAAAACGGCGTTCTCCATGAATCGACCGAAAACGATTAGCACGAGGAGTACTTTGAGTCAAGCTTGAATCGTCGAGATACGACCGCAGTTCAGTCGCTTCAATTTCATATCTACCGGCACCATCTTGAAGTGCTTCTCCACAGTGGAGATATGAAGAAAGAAATACCAACGAACAACAATGCCCATCGTTTGGAAACCCAATGACTTCAATCATGTTGTCATTTTCGCTCAATGACTGAACGATTTCCAAACAAAAATCGCATAACCTACGTATTGTGCATCGTCTAACAATTATCTCCGTTCAAGATATGCTTCCGCGTTAATTCCATGCAATCGATGGAGTTTACGCCTGGATAAAGCAAACTTTGAGCATTGTCTTTAGCATGAAATATACCTTCAAGTAGCTATACTCAATTTATAGGCAATTCCATGCAATGTTGTTGGCCTTAAGACAAACCTATATATATAGACCTAATCATAAATGCCAGGTAATCCACAGGTAACGTTAATATTTATACCTTATGTATTTTTATTGATATATTGGTTATTGGTTACTAAATATATACCTATATACATATATTTATCCTATAGCTGTAAACTTATACAATGATGTACAGGAATTCGGGATTTTGAGTTTAGTAACGTATGTCTTATTCATTTACTTGAATGGGGAAAGTGTAATTCCAACAGCCAACTGATAGTTTTACTGTCGTGTTGCTTGCACCACATGTTTTGAAGTAGCCTTTTGACCATGTAGGGGCACTTTCATACATGCCACAACTTACATTTGCAATCAATAACGTTACAATTATTAATTAATGCTAAGCGCGATCAAAATGTAGCCAAAATATCATTCTTATTTCCTTATATGTTTATTTAAGATAAATAGCGTACTGGAGATTTTTTTGGTACACTTCCTTACCTGCGCATGCGTATGAAAAGTATGACAGTTCTTGTGAAAAATCTTGTGATCAAGTTTTTTTTTCTTTTATTAATTTCATTATTCTTTATTATGGAACGTGATATTTTACTAGGTTATAAGGCTTACATAGGGTCGTCTTATCTGTGAAGTATTCCTTGCACATGCGTTCAGTGTATGGTACATGCATTATTATATATATCTTTAGTGCTAAGCTGGAGCATATGGCAATCCAGTAATACGGCTGTGTTATTAAAATGACTTAGTACAGAACAAGGTGATTTACACGGAAAATGTTCGTGTTAAAATCCAACAGATGTTCCGCACAACATGTCAACACGAATAGATCAGATACGGATGAATATGGGAATGAAAAAAAAAAAGCGATGAACAATATGCCACTTGCAAAGATTATGTAAAGTTCGGTTCACTTTCGGTTGAGAAAGGGATTGCACATGTATTTTTCTTTTGTCTCGAAAATAAACACGATCTGGTGTTACATTGTATGTAGGCACATAATTCACGTAATTTGTGTCGTTTACAAAAAATCGAAAATCTTCAGTCGTCTTAACTAGGACAAATTTAACTCCGGAATCGGTTTCCTAAAAGGACTGTTCAAAGTCCGTTTATTAGATTAGCATTTGACAGCACTTAGATTTAGCCCAATATAGTTGCTTTTCCTAAAATACCACAAAAGGTCACATATCTTGTTTTAAAAACAAAACCATGTTATTAGCTGTGCAATAAACAGACATCGCCATGTTGGTATATTTTTATTCATGTTCCGTTCCAAAACCAAGTAGATTCTCGAATAGATAAAACACGACAAAATCACGTGAAAAGTGCATTGCAAGTCCATAGCTGCTGTTTTGATGTCAATACATGTAGTAGCTCATGCGGTGTCATTTCTGTGTTTCTTGTTTTTTCTTGGCAAATATGATTTAACTGGATTCTCGTTATTCTAAGAGGACAATTGCCTATACAGTACGCGCGATCTTTCGGTGAATTATCAATTCTACTAAGGTTTTATGATGGAGAGTCTGCTGTTAAAGAAAAGAAGCGGATATGTATGATTCAAAATGGCCGTACTTGATGGGCATAATTTGATAAATGGCCTATTTAAAGCGAAGTAAAAATCGATTATTTTTTCAAACACTAAGGGTTCAGATCAAGTCTTTGATACGGTAGGCTTCAAGTGACAATATACATCAAGATTGAATCTGAGATTACATTTTGCGAGGACATTCACTCTAAAAGCCATACATTATACACAAGACCAACGGCACCACCGATTTCCTTGTTCTTAAACCTTACAGATATATGTCAAGACCGTTCTTTATCGGGCTGGCAGACACAGTTTGTTTATTCTTTTTTTTTTAAGTTTTGCTCCCGATGGGTGCCACTGTGAACAATCATTGTAAACTTTAAACTCTCACACCAGGACCAGCTGAATCTGATCATGAAGATGTTCAGACAACGATAAAATGAATGCACAGTAACCTTTACAACTGACAGTTAATGGGCAAACACGAGTTCCGGCCATTGTTCTCTGATGTTTGACGATTGCCGTTGTCGCCACTGGAATTTAGCCATATGATTCATGTATTCATGTATTACTTCAAGCGACAGGCCTGGGTATAAATATTCCACAAATCTTCTTCCGGCGAATCGAATCAGCTGCCTATACTACCCTTAGCAAAATGAAAAGTTTGAAACAATATTGCAGCAACGAATTTGCAAGATTTTGCAAGAAAAGATATAGCTGCTACCTTGCAGCCCTATTCCAGCAAATATGCTGCAAATTTGGCAAAAAGGAATTGCAGTTTGCAGAAATATTGCAGCAACACTGTAGCAAATTCGTTGCAAATTTGCAGCAGGTCTAATATTTTAATAAGGGTAGCGCTGTTCCCATGGTGTTTTGCTCTCCCGTTTGGATATTGTGGTACAGAACAGTATTTGTGACTGCTCCCTTTATGTCACAATCACATACAACGCGATATCAATAATAAAGAAATTGGTGAAATTTAAGATCTTTTGCCATTGATATTTCACCAGGATGGTCATGCATGCGGTTTGCAATTGTTGGATGGTACGTGTTCAGTCTAACTGGAAGAGTTAATGGTGAAGTTTGATATAAATTCTAAGCTAGGTAAAAATGGGCTGGCCTAGAATCTGTGGGATTATTGTGTTGATCCACTAAACTATCAGTCTATTTACCAATTAATAGATTAGTTAATTAAGCAATAACGGGAATTGAGCCGTCTTGGTGAAAGCCTGCGTTCTGCGAGTGTTTTTCAGGTGGTGTATATGCAGCAAGTATCTGAAGGACTCACTGCATATCTCATAGTGGTCTCTATCTGGAGGGGTGGGTTCGATTCCCACGCTCAAGTTTAGAGAAAGGATCGGAACTGTCTGTGTATACGCCCCAGGTTTTGATACTGGAGCCCGGGTAAGAGGGTGAGGCTTCCTTAACAACAGACAATATTCTTTCACAGCTGTTAGCTGAATCACTGTGATGATGACTATGTTAACGGTTTAAACTGTTTTATTGAAATATGGAAAGTATTAAATTAAAAGCATCGCATTGATGGTATGAACAAACCGTATAATTTCTGCATAAAGAATTCGTTTCATATTTGACTAACAGTCATTTCACATCTCATATTTAACATAAATCGAAACTTTCGTCAGTATTAAACCGGTATTTAATTATTTACACGGGATGCGGGATGTTTAATTTGCACACATGTAGAACTACTTTTTCTCCGATATATCACGGTATCAGGTGCGCCATGATCGAGCGTGAGATCTTTGACACCTTGTTTGTCATCAGTGATCTTCTTTCAGCTGAGCTGGATCGATTGCTGTCTTAACACTCGCGTATACCCGGCTATTGACTAAAACACAACAGATCACGATCACAGCGGAGTTCACAGGGTGTCTCTCTCTCTGCATGCTCCCAACTAAAGCAGATCAAATTAACAGCACGGTAAAATGGATGCTCAGTCATTCAGCGTCCACCGTGAGGAGTTTTGGTCCATCCTCTGTCTACGATTGTTCTCGCGACGTTGATAGTGTTTCTAGATCGTCCCCCTGATGCAGTTATTAAGCAATTCTTGTCTTTTCTCTAACTGCTGCCTTTTCCTTGAATTCCACAGGCGGTACCTTAAGTGATGTATTAAGTTAGTGTGTTCTTGCGTCTTGCTTACGTGCCTACGACAATCTGTGTTTAACTCGGAAAGCCGTGGAAAAATTTGGCTTGTAATCATGACTAGTAAATCTTGCCTTCTATGCTTTCAAACCACAGGGCCCCCCAGATTCATAAAATCAATTAATCTTTTTCACTTTTGTACATTTTAGTAGAGACCAATCTGAAAGTATTGTCTGACATGACGCCGACAAGACAATTACTTCCAATAACTACCAATTTCATATGAAATTAATAAATTGCTTAAGAGATGCATAAATGCAGAACACTCATAAAGTGCATAACTCTTCCTTAATATGTGCATAAACGAAAAAAAAAAACACTCAAACTTTCGCCAAGACAAACAATTAACTAACAATAAGCCATTAATTAATAAACAGATCATCCCCAAAATCTTAACATTTAAATTTGCCAATTTGTGTCTGATTAGCACCCTTCGTGGAAATTTAATGATATATATGGAAGGATAAATATTCACGATTATATTTAATTATATGGTTGGATGAAGGGATACGTAGGAGATCAATTCAGGAATAAAACATCACATGTAAACATCCCCAAACCCATCTGACGATGATTAATGCTTCTTTCCAGAAAGAGATATACTGACTTTAAAATTTATCGGTTTCAGATAAAAGAACAAATTACAAGCACTGGTATATAATCTAGGATTATTTGAAAGGGGGGGGGGAGGCTGAACGACAGGCCTCAGATGCCAAGCCGATCGTCACACTCTTGGTGTGGGGTTCGGGGCCTGCTCAACCCCCCCTCTAAACCTACCACTGTATTCTGTCTCACATAAATCGTGGGCTTTTTTACTGTAGATATCTACAAAGTACATCTAAGAAACTCAAAAGTTCATCTGCTGCAGGTTCAAAAAACTAACCAAAAAACAACAAACGCATAGCCGTACTTCCGGACTTTTCAATCTCCACTTAAACATTACAATGAGACGATGCAGATTTTTTTTATTGCACCACTCATAGCAAACTGGCTTGGGAAGCTGGCGTTAACGTGCAATCCATCATTCCAAACCATAATTTTGCATTATCCTTAAGGATTTGTTTAAGTCAAAGATATATAATCACCAATCACGCTTCTTTGACACAAGTTTTTCGTCTTCATCACCCTAGAGTTCAAATAAGGAAGTTTTCAGACAAGCTGTCAATAACTAATAGCGTAGTGTATGGCCTGGGGATTACGAAGTGCCAGTCAAAAGCCTTACTTTCTTGTCATTCTTAACGTTTCTTATATTGTTGATGTGAAGGCTTTTTTATTTCAATTGAACTCTCAGCTAAACTTGGTGCCCATATTAATGTGAACAGTATACAGTCCCTTGCTTAATTTGTGTGGTCTGTATCTTAATTTACATGCCTGTACTTAGTTCAAAAGATAATGTGATGTCTTTGTGTGAGAGTGGTCTATCAGCGAATTTGTTGTTTTAATGTGTTTAATGTATACTATCCTTATATGTTTGTATGTTAGTTTGGTGTCTAAGATAATAATAAAAAAGTTAAAAATAAAACAATGATAAAAACGGGTTCCCATGTGTATTTTAAAAGCAAAGTCAAATAGTTTTCAGCTCAAGCCCGAGGGTCGCAAATTTTAACTAAGTGTGGCCACTCTAGACCGGCGGTAAGCTGGGCAGTGACACAAATTTCTTGCGAAAAAAAAAAAATTCTGGGCCGAACAATAAACCACGCACACACCTCTGGTGTAAAGCCTGAGATTTATTTGTGAACATCTAGTTTAAAAAGTATCATTCATGGTAAGGAGTTACTTTCAGAAAATGAGGATAAAAGTCGCCCACTGATTTCCTCCCGATCCACTCTTGAACCAAGTGTGTCAGTCAGCCAGACACTGAGGTTAGGTGGCGAGTTTACTTGGTCCCTTCAGTCTTCCCTTGACAGAGCATTCCCTCTACTGTCTAATTTTGCTTAGTATGGATAGCATCATGTCACCGTTATCAGTCGTTATCGCTGCACCACGCAGTGTTATTGCTTACATTTCCTCGACCCCCAATGACCTGTTCCGTGATTCATTAGCTTCAAAACGTTGTATTGCTTTTGATGTCGTAACCACGCCGGCGCTACTCTTGTTAAAAATCTGCACGGAATATTACGTTGGAAGTGTTGATTTATAGCAGTGCCGGTAAGTGGACTGTACTTGGGAGAC